GTTTGGGCTTAGGGTTCAGGGCTTAGGGTTTAGGGCTTAGGGTTTAGGGTTTAGGGCTTAGGGTTCAGGGCTTAGGGTTTAGGGCTTAGGGTTTAGGGTTTAGGGTCTAGGGTTTAGGGCTGAGGCTTTAGGGTTCAAGGTTAAGGATCCACTGGCTTGCTGTTAAGGAATCTCAATCAAGTTACCATAATTTTGTATGAAGTACACACCAGGGTTTCCTTGTCAAAGTCATTTTGCTTAAGGTCTGTAACAGGCTTCCAGGCTAGATGCCTCTGGGGTTCGGGGTTGAGGGAGTTCAGAGGTTGTAAGCTGCGGGGTAAAGGGCTGTGGAATCCATGTGGATTCCTGACGATGGTGTTGTTTAGCACTGCGTTGCACATTTCTAGGGTCCAGCACAAGTCAAATTGCGTGTAGGTTAGACCATTGTCATGACACTGATGATTATTACTACCACTTCCACTACATCTATTCTATCACTACTCCTCCCTGTCCTACTATTAAGGCTACTACCACTACGCGGATAACGACCATCAAAACCATGACAATGCAAATTAGCAGCGCGCTAGTCACTAGCATTGCAAGGTTCATGTTCAACACTGAATGTAAGACCTGCTGGCGGTTAGTAGGGAATGAAGGAATGGGTACCCACAGAATGTCATCCCTAGTCCCTTTACCACGGTATTCTTTGATTCTCGACTAACCACCAGTAAGAACAAATTACCCAACTCGAGTCTAGCTTCTTCCAGCTGCCGCGCAAGGCCTTCGCATTGTTCGCGGAACCTGAGCCCCCAACCATGGATATGCTCCTAGATTTAGACCCCGTTTCGTGGAATTCTTCAGAGAAAGCCACATTCTTAGGTTTGACGGATCCAAGAGACTGTACAATCTGCATTGCAAAACACATTGGTATCACTTCTAATCAATGGCTTTTTGGTTCAAGGGCACAGAAGAAGACACCGATTTTGCCAAGTGCTTACTTGAGGCAACTTAGCAATCCCGTGTTTATCATGGCTTGTACGTTGTACTGTAAAGAAAGGACTTGGTAAGCGAGCTGCCATTCTAGCATCCTGCGTGCACCCTGTGCTTGCTTCTTTTTCACCACCCTATTCAGTGAGACAGACTGAGCTGGATCGCAAGTTGTGCCATGATTAGCAAAAACTCCCTTGCAAGGCTGAAACTGACTTCCATACAGCTTCATGCAAACACCCTGCCATGCTGGTTCAACGAGGACTGACTACAGCCGGTGAAGCTTAGGACAAGGCTGGCGCTCAGTGACAACGCAAAGGATGTGGGTAAAGGCGTGCCCGAAGAACTTGTCAATGCTCTTGAGAGCAATTTCTGGCATCCGCTCTGTCTGCACAAGGAAGACCAAGGAGATATGCGTTACACGGATGCGCATGAAGCAGGACACCACATAGCCCAGCTGCTGCTGGGTTCGCAGCTCGTTGAAGAACCTGCTTCAGTAAGGGCTCAACAATCCATCATGAAAGGGACCAGAGTCAAAAAAAAAAA